GTTCGTGTAGGTAGGCGTGCGTGCGTGTGAAGGTGACATGTCCATGTGCAGTAAGGTCGTGGACTGATAGGAGGTTGTCCTTTATTTTTGGTGTGTGCACTGCAGGGATGTGGATTGTGTCATTCTTGGTCTGGATGGCGATAGTGCCGGTGTGTGTGATTCGCGCGCGTTGTCTGGTTGCTGTCTGTGTCAGTGTCCCAGTGCTGCGCTGCATGCTCGCGTGGGGTGTGGCGGTATGCGTTGGCTGTGCACCGGAGTCTAATACAAAAATTTTCTTACCGTCGTGGTTTGCTTGTTGCTCTGCTATGACCTCTTCTAGGAATTGCAGGCGTTCGCGGAGGTCGGGCACTTCGCTTTGCTCTGGTCTGGGTCTGTGCTCGTCGTCGTGTTCTGCGGTCTCTTTGTTTGCGTGTGCTGTGCTTTGGTTTTTCTGGTATCTGCGTGCAAAGCATTTTCGGTACTGTGTGTGACACTACCGTGGAGGTGGCACCAGTTGCCTGTGTACCCTTTGGGTTTGTCGTAGTGGCGTGGTGTGGTTCTGGGTGTGGTGGTACGTGGCGTTCTACTTGCCCTGGGGTGTTGTTCCCATGTTCTGACCGGTGCTGTTGTTGGTTGGTGTTAGGGTGTCGGCGTTTGACTTTGGATCAGTTGCGCCTGCTGTATGTGATTTGTGAATTCACGTATGGTATTGGGGGGGGGGGGGTTGCATGCTAGCATGATTGCTAGGGTATTCATGTCCGGGTGTTGCGCCTGCCCCTGTACTATGTATCTGACGGTGGTTCTTTTGGCGTCGATATTTGGGTATCCGGAGACCTGCATTCTGTGTCGGATGTCACGGTGGTTGTTGATGTAGTCCTTGAGGTTTTGTCCTGCCTTGTATTTGAGCGTGCGTGCTTCGGCGTCCAACAGTTCATGGCTTTTGAGCGAGCATGTGTCTACGGATTGTTTCAGAATTGTGCATATCTGGTGTGGGTCATATCTCAGTATATGCGGTGGGAGTAGCTTCACTACCCCTTCACTGAGGCTCTGCATGATGGCTTTCCTCAGTTGATCCTTTTTCTGTTGTTGCGTGGCTTTGCTCTGTTGGATCTAATATTGTTGTGATTGTCTGTGTGAGTTCGGCTTGTGCGCCAATCGTGCGCGCGTGTATTTCTAGAGCATCATACCAGTATTGAAAGTTAGAGAGGGTTAGTGATGGTAGGTTGCCCTGCGTCGTGTTCGTTCTCTCACTCATTTTTGGTGTGTTTGTTCTGTTGATTGGCGTGTTTCTGGCTTTGGTTGTCGAGTCGGAGGGTTTCGCTGGTTTGTCCGGCGCGTTGTTGCAGTTCGGCTCGTATCCTTGTGCTGTTGCTCTTCAGTTTAACGTCTGCCTGTGATGCGGTTGGGATGGTGACGGATCGTGTTCAGTGGTTGCGTGTCCCATAACCTGTGATTCCATGAACTCCGATGCCCACGATCCTCTCAGGAGCGGGCGGCCGGCGGCGACGTCATTGTGCAAGTGTGTGGCGTGCCCTATTGACGTTGCCTTATTTGTTAGCCTGTCTTACTTGCCTCCGGATGTAACCACACGCCCAACCAGACCGCATGGCAAACAACGGCTTGTGGAAAGTGGGAAAACTCAATCTCACTCACTTTTGCGAAGACGCAATAAAGGGGAAACGAAAGCGCAAGCCCCTAGCCGTGTGCTAGTGTTTGATAATCTACGCGAGCGGCATGTAAACGTCCCAGAGGCTGCACACTGGAATCATCTGGACACAAAGTGGGCATCGACTGTTTTTCATCATGCAACACTTCAACGGCAGTATGTTGCTGCTGCTGCCCTTGCCTCTCAAGTAAACGTTATTGTGGATTTGCAGATTCTGCCTATTGCCAGACAGATGAGCGCGTGGAGAGTTCCGAGTCAGGCAGGTCGACCGAAGAAACGGCGGACACAGGGGGTCGCAGCGCTTCAACGAAAGTCGCTTTGCTCTGCTTGTAGTCAAGTTGGGCACTACGCTACGATTTGCGAAGCCCCAGACACTGTGTACCTCTACCAGAAAGTCGTTCGGGAGTGAGGTGAAGTAAGTGGTACGTAAGAAAACTTCCAAAATAAAAGTGGTAGGTAACAAACATTCTCCTAATTTAAGCTTTATGTTGGACCGAGCTGCTGTAGCTGAACTTGGCTGGTATAGAGGATATGGCGGTCCGGGCTAGTTTAAGTACTATGCTGGACCGGGCTGCTGTAGCTGAACCCGGGGGGGGGGGGGCTGGCATTTTACAGAATTTATTTTTAGCTATGCTCAGTCGAAGGGTAATAATACTTCGGGGCCCATTGTGACGAATGGAGCACCCAGGTCTATCATTCATAGCAAGAGAGTCTAAACATTGGCGTCCCCAGCCGCTGTTCAAGGGTCCCGATTGCCACTGTGCTCTTTCGCCTACATGCAGTTAGTGCAGATGATTTTGAAGCTATCCTATCTATACAGTCCGTGACTCAAGTGAGGCAGCTCTCCAACGCTTGGTGAGGTAAAGTTATCTACTGTTGCTGTCGGGCAGCGCGATACATCATCATAGAATTCGATTCACGTAGCTTCCACGGCGTAGTTACTAGTTGCTCCCAGTCTGGGCAAATCGACACCTGCAACATCTCCATGGATCAGTTGCATCGCATTCCAAACTGAAAACAAAGTTAAACCCACTCAGTCCTTCTTTGCCGTATTCGTTGCGACGGCTGCCGAATGCGCAGAAGCCCCTGGCTGGGCCTCGCCATCCTGTCCGTGCACCTCTTGGTCTCCAGACACCGCGCTCTTCGTCGTGCTCTTCAATGCGCCTCGGAGCATCGCGGAAGCGCCGAGTTTCTTCGGAAACCTCGCAATGCGGTACCCATCCAACGCGATACCGCTAACCTGCCTAGCGACGTTCTCTGCCTCATCGCCGTACGTCGCGCGTGCATACTCGGACGCGCTCTTGCCGGTATCCTCGATAATGAGCTTGCCCTGGCTATCCGCGGCGACGTATATTCTTCCAAACGCCAGCATGCCGGCCATCAAGTTGTCATGAAAGTTCCTGCGCGCGGTGCCATGGGGCGCGCTGGAAAAGCTCTTCGTGACGGGATTTTTCGCGAACCCCTTGCCAACGACGCTGGAGATCTTCTCCGTGGCGACATGTGCGACGGAGGCGCCCTTCCCGACGATGACGCGCGCGCCGGCGAGGGCCTTGCCCGTGATCTTTCCGCCGAGCTTGGCGTTGCGCGGTTCTGTCTCCTTTGCCTTTTCGACGCGGGCCGAGAGCTTCTTCTGGATGGAGGTGTTGATGCGGTTGCCCCAGCGCTCGACGAACTCGACGCCCTTTTCACCGGCCTTGGCGAAGCGGTCCGTCGCGGCGTCCGGCGTGGATGGCGGGGTGTGCGGCGGGAAGGACGGCGGCGGCGGGGCGCCGTGGACCGGCTGTATGGCACCCTGGGCGACCTCTGCATGGGATGCGTCTTCCGTGGGGACCCAGCCGCAAAACCACTGCAGGACGGTTTGCAGCGAGTCGACGAGCTCGAGCGCGACGCCCTTCTGCACGCGGATGGCGAAGACGCGGTGCGGGATGCGGACTTCGAAGATCGGCGGGGAGACGGAGAGGCGGCGGGCCGTGTGCGTTGGGAGGAGAGGGACGTTGAGCGACTCGAGAGAGATGAAGGCGTGGTATGCGGCCGGAGATGGGGCTGAGTCCTGGCGCGGGCCTTGGATGACGCGCAGGGTGCCGGAGAGCGACTCGGTAAGGACCGGGAGCACGGGCTGGGCCGAGTGTGAGAGCTGCGGCGGTGGGCCCTCCGTGATGGTGGCGGGGAGCTCGACGAGGAGCTCGTAAGTAGAGGGGAGGGAGCCGGAGGAGTGGGGCTGAGTGTCGGAGACTGGGTCAGCGGCTGGAGCCGGTGCGTCGGTGGAAGCCGTCGGCGCGGCGGGGGAGGTGTACTCCGAGGCCGGGGGGTATCGCGA